GCTCATGTGCTAGCACTGAGGCGCAGGTGGCGGTGGCTCCGGCCTCCGGTGCCGCCTGAATTTCCACAGTCTGCACCAGACATCATTGATGTGGTCGCTTTGAAAGCTTGAGCCCCGCACATCAAATAGTGCCCATTTGGTCCAGGCTCCGATTGGAAGAGTCTGGTCTGGTCAAGTCAGCCGATCTAGGTTTACAAAAAAACGAGAGGGTGCCCCGACTTGGGGTTTCTGAATCTCAGCCGGGGTAACGTCTGGTAGGCAACCGCCGCCATCAACCAACTAGCGTCAGCTGGTACAATCCACATTGCATTGGTTTGCCTCTATTAGCTGTATTAATAAATACCTAATTCACTATTTTTATTTCTCACTCTGGTAGACTATTTAATATTAGAGATTAAGTATATATTACTAGCTAGGTAGCCTATAAGAGTATTATAACTATTTTTAAAATAAAAGGAGAATAGTTTATAACTTAGAGTTAATATAAAATAAAATTATATTAGTCCTTATAAGTAGCATATAATAAAATATCTATATTTAAGAAACTTTAACCTATTTATATAATACTACTTTTCACTTTAATAATAACTTTAGGATTTCCTTTACCCTAAGTCTTTTTATTCTGCCTTATAAATAGAAATTTACTATTAAACTATAATAATTTAGGCTAAAAGGTATAATTTCTAGATAGGATTTAATAATATTAATAGTAAGTGTTAGATATTTTATATTTTAGTATAAATGCCTTATAGTGTATATAAACTATTTATTTGTAAAATACTTTGCTTAGTTTCCCTTTATAAGGCTAGTATTTATTATTATAAGGTATAATAATACTAAGAAGTTTAAGAGATTAAAGCCTAGTATCTTAATATCTTTATTACAAATAATATTAAAGGGAATATAACTAATATAATATAATACGTTAATATCTACTATATTACGTGGTTAGCTATATTACTTAACACTTTAATAACTACTAGATTATAAATATAAGCTGAGGTGGTGTTTACGTCCACCCTCGTTCTATATCTAAATAGTCAAGTCTGAAGCTTGTGTTAGTGCCGGATATCAGAGGGTACCGCGCCCAGCCGCAGGTCCCTAACCACGCTGCTTGGGGCAAAAGTCTTTAACTCTAGCCCAAAGCCTTAGCTACCATCACACGGTTTGACGAGGGCTACGAGTACGGGACCTAGGGCAAAGGCCTTCACCGACTTGTTATATTTATAAAGCTCTTAAATCCATCCAAGCCTTGAGAAAACCAAGGACCTTTAATGCCAAAGACTAGTATTACATGTATTGAGTTATTACCCCAAGCCCTCACCGAGCCCTTGTGACAGCTGCTCCGCAATTGGCTTCCATAAATATACATGTACCTACATGTGAACCATTGATGTATTGAGAGCCAAGAGGATAGGAAAAAGGAGGTGGGCCTCAAGGCAACTGGGGTCAACATTGAATGTAATTGAGTCGGCGTCCTAACCAAGGCGCCACCATAGTGTAGGTGCTAGGATTGGCAATGGGAAACCTCTCCTCGTCGACGCACCAGTACTCAGCTTATCTAGAGAAAATTATGGCTATTTTAAGGTTAGAACACTCCGCCTGCAGCACATGCTATTGTATATTTTGTCCTAAATACAGAATTAAATAAAGCGACACTGCTAGATATTCTAGTCCTTACTAGAACATATTGCTGTTTCACATGAGTTGGCCTCAACGGTTCATCATTTCGTGTGCCTTGTTCGTGATAATTAAAAAAAATAAAATCATACTTGAAGATAGGCGGCTACTCAATCGACCGGCGTGAAGTCATTCATCTGTAGGAGAAAACCACAACGCCTTGGGTCCAGAGAGGATAAATCACCAAACCTGCCTTGAGCGTCATGTCAATTTTGTGAGATCGGTCTGTTACAAACTGGGGTTACATCCGTAATGGAGCCCCGGAAATTCAGCACGAATGCAATCTAGAATGATAGCTGAAGTTGTTGCCATCAGCGTGGCAATAGCCTCTGCATCTGCCATGACAGAGGTGTTTTTCAGCATCTCAGCTGATGAAGTCATTTGTGGGAGTATTTTGAGAGCATCGCGCCACAGTGCCTTCATCTTTGACAACATGGGAAGTTTCGTAGATTTAAGGTTAGTGCATCCACATTACACATAGCTGCCGGTATCCAATCATTAGATTCGTGATTTGGAAAAGCGTTGTTATAACAGCCGACTCTAGGCATGTGTCAATTGAGAGTTGGATGCAATGTCCCGCAATATTGTAGCACGAACCCAACTCACCTGCCACAATCCAACCCAAAAGCCTGGTCCGCATCCCAAGTGTATGGTTCGGTTAGCTGGTTAGATATTGGTAGTTGGTAGGTAAGGCTACTGGAAATACTAAGTTGACGACAGCTAGGTACGTACTATCTGCATTGCAACAAAGATACATGGGCGAGTAAGTGTACTCGGACTCTTATTTGACGGTTGCGGTTTACCAAAGACAGTTTGTCTTCTAAATTTTATAAAATATCTTTTATCAGGTATGCAGAATGTTTATGTTGACAAAGTCTATATCTTGTTGTTGACAATTCAGTCAACTCTATCGACTGGGCACCCATAATTGCCGATGCAGGCATGCAACCCAAGAACGAGTGGTGTATCGCATACAGCATTTTGCATGTTACTTCACTGCATATACAAACATGACGCTGCTAGTATGCTGTGAAGTCAAATCTGATTACTCAGAGACAAATAAACACCCAACTAAGCCACAGGGCAAAAATGGTAGACGCCTACGAATATTTTATCGTAGCAGCTAAATTATCATATTCAACTCAACATCATAGCGGTGCGACGTCTGTGAATTATTCAGTGTTCGGAATCCTAGCGCCGCCAAGTTGACTTCGGCTTGCTTCGTAACATACCTAGGTACCTGGGCAGTGGGTGGTGTTTACTCACAAGGCGTTGAGAAACTCAGCTGAATTGTCTGGCAAAACTCTACATACATGTAGGAAGTTGTCACCATGTTCACAGGGCTTGAACCTTATATATCAATTTTGCCCAATTTTCTTCTTCCGTCTCCAATTTGGTCTCTGCTAATGCGCCATATTCATGCTCAAGTCAGCTATGCTATCGTAAAGCAGACAAAACGTATAAAACCCCAGATGATGTGCTGCTAGATATTCACTCAACAGTGTATCTACTACATGTCTTAGTTCCTAGGTAACGAGACGTAGCGACCTAAAAATGGTTTTGATTTTACTTCAGACTTTTGTTATTATTACGCTGCTCATAGCATGTCAAGGTGCACGCGGCGAGGCCGGTCCGTCCCAGATGCCTGCCCCAACACCTCGTGCTGAGCTATTCAAACGCGTTGAATCAACATGCGGATATGCAAGAGGCGTTTCAAGTAAGTGATGGTGTGTTTCTTATCTGATATACTTCCAAGTCAATACTTGCTTGCTCTGACCAAATTTTCCCAGCCTCATCTATTGTATGCAAAGCTGGCAACTGGTGCCGCGTTAATACCCAGGCTTCGGTGATTGGCTGCTGTTCTTCATCTTGCATCCTCGTCAGTGATTGTGTACCTTACACGTCCATCTCAGAAGAAACATCCATGACTATTGAAGAGGGCACGACATATTGGTACGTGGACTCATAGAGTGGCCAAGACTCCGCACATTAATTAGTCCAACAACGCTAATCGTTTGAGACGGTAGCACCAACTCGGCAACCCCTGATTGCGCAGTTGGCTCATATGTTGAAGGTGATTATTCCGGCTATACTTGGCCAATCTGCCGGACTGCATCTGGGACAATTCCCATCTTGGAAGAACCTTTGACGACCACAGGCGACGAATCTACCACTCGTACGGCTGAGGATACAGAGACTACTACAAAGACGAAGGCAAAGGTAACTTCGGATTCGGAACCGAGCTCAACTACACGTCCGACCCTGGCCCAGAGTCCGACTCTGTCTACTCCAGGACCCGTAAGTGAAGCAGACAAGCTTGTCAGTGGCACTTTAATAGCTGTAGTTGCTGCGGTAACGGGGTTGTGTTTCATTTTGCTGCTGTAATCTGCTTAATCAATGCTCTACATGGTGCTCCGTGAAGAGAAAAGGGGATATGTGGCTATTAATTCGTCGATCCGGTTGCCGTTTTCTGGTGCATCTTGGGTAATCGTGGGATATTCTCTTATAGTATTCTTTCTCTCGCATAAAATATTGTTGTATCCGCCGCTTAAAAAAGTACAAACAGCTTCTGGTATGGTAGTATAAGACCAAGTCGCGTCAGCAACATCCCTTATTATGCGTTGAGATAGGGGCGACAAGAAAAACTACGCAATTCTCAAGTATTGTGGGAAGATACTAATAATACATCACACCTGAAACAAAGCTAAACTGGACGCCTTCTTCCATGTCATGGCGGATGTATAACTCTATTCTAATAATTTCACGCTGATATTAATTAAATGACTGGCGGACCCATTATGAAAACACTGGTTTTTGCACGTACCGTGAATAAATAGGTGCAGATCGGAACTTTCCATGTAGAACGCCGCTCCCCCTATTGTAGGATCCAACTCAGACGACAACTGCCCGTCAGCGACCAAGTGGCTTGCCATTTAGTTGCCAACGGGTAATAGTAGTAATGGATGGTAGGGTCGAAGCCGAATCGTCAGCGGCTGCTATACGCTGACACGCCCAGTGCCACGTCGACAGCCGCTGCAACGATGGTGAGGGAATGAACATGCGCCTCGCTTCCAGTTAGGATTCAGGTGTATGTGGCTGGGAACTCGGCCGTAACGCCATGCATTCACGTCCTTTTTTTCTTTTGCGTGGAAGTGGCTTCGCCCCCCAGTTCCCCAGATATCGGCCTCCTGAGTGATACTAACCCTAACCCTTATATGTGGATAAAGTAATTCCCCAGGAACAAAGGTATCTTATGAGCCAGAATAATTATGACAGCATAATGAACCTGTCCTGCCCTTTCCCTTGCCAGCAAGCGCTCCTCACCCGCCACGTCCTCTGCCCCGTCCTCTGCCACGTCCTCCGCGTACGCCACCTTGACGTCCACTAACACCGCGGCGACGGTATGGACCTGCTTGCACCTCTTGATTGTCCCTTGGACGAAGTGAATCGTACATCACACCAGTCTGTTCTACGTTGGCGTCGTCAACAGTAGCCACATTGACCCTGTTCTGTTCAGGTGCGGCATCCGCCTCTGGTTTAGGGGCAGTAAGACCACCATCGGCAAGGGCAACAATGACTGCTACAGTCTCGATCTTCATTTTGATAAAGGTGTGAATTTTGATGAAGAACCACAGAACTAACAAGACTGGCAGCATAGAAATTTGGAAAGAACAAGTTTAATCGGGAACTTATATTAGCTCTTGAAGGCAAGATATACCTTGTATATGAGGATTCATCAGAGGCATATAGCCCACTTAATACGGGCGTTTAATTTGTCCAATTTACTTATGGGCTTGTGTGAGGCAACTATTTGCTTGTTAAGCTTCATTTGACTATTGGCAACCTTGGCGCCTCTAGGCCCCGAAACCTGATTTACCGACAATTGGCTTCTTTATTATCCGCTGCCATCCGAGGGGTCCTTGATCGACCGGGACGCAGGGACAAGGGCGCCCGAGTTCCGAATATCACTTCAATGCATTCCAGCCGACGCCTCGAAACAAAATACTGGAGGCAAGACGGAAGTTTGTTCCCTGGCAAGGCAACCGCGCAAGCGTAGCTACAGTACATCATTGCCTTGGCTGAGTTTAGCTTTGCCGCCTTTTTAATGGCTGAGTATAATGTCACTTCCTAACAAAAGGTAGGACCATCAGTAGAGTATATCGACTGTTTGCGGAATCTCTTCTCGCTCTCTCACCTTGACTTCGTGAACGACAGTTTAATGTCCTATTCCATGTTTTTGGGGGACTTGAAGACCACAAACCATGTAAGTCTTGGTCAAAGGATAAGAGTAATGATAATAGAATTCTATGGATTCATGGTCCAACGGGTTTTGGAACAGCTCACTTCGCATCACGGGCAGCGGGTCTCGCATCGTCTAATGGCGAGGCTGTCGTTATCAGCTATCGCTTTGATAAAACTAATGACAGACACAGGTCAATGCAGCAGACGTATACGGCTCTAAGCTACCCGTTGTTGTGCCTAAAGCCTTTATCACACCGACCTGCTGTACAAAGCCGCGATGAATGCAACCACCGACAAAGGGAGATGCAGGCTCGATCAGTTTTGGAGCATCCTTCGCTCTTTGCTAAGCTGCCCCAGTCATGGGAAAACAATATGCATAATAAACAACGTCGATGAAGGCAAGCCTTACAAAATTCAATCGACACGACTTGAGGTGGAAAGAGTGCTGGAATCAATTTCCGAGACGGAATCAGCCTTGCGTCAGAGATTACTCGCACACGTCTTGGGACAAGATCCCGTCCGATGTCAAGGGTCGTATTCTGATAGGCCCTGTGACAGACAGATTTAAAGAATTTGTTTGGCTAATTTATCGACATGAAGAATGAGCAAGTTTTCCTTGCGCATACATGTAAAATCTCATGCTGGCATAACTACCTCGCGAATCAATCGAATGGCCCTGGAAGGGCTAGTGTCATGGGCTCGAATTGTCATGCAGCAAATTCAACACATGTCTAAGATGTCTCTCAAAGAATAGATGGCTAGAATTTTTATTTAATATCAATATCAGACCTGACTTCAATGCTCAGGACAATTTATAGGGCATAGCTGTGTTGTCACTCGCCCAGCGCGTAGCTGAGGTCGGGACTGGTCTTGTTTCGGATCAATAGAAATTTGGCCCGCGCTTTTAAAACATCAAATACTTTTTTTCTTTTTACATAGAAACATGAAAAGCGTAGTATTGAGACACAAACAACCAGACTCTTCACACCAGTCTCTTTTCGGTAAAACGTCGCCTGATGCTACACACCCAGAGTCCATCATCTGTTCACGCGCATCCGTCCCGTGGTCTAATTTGCGGACATCTGGAGCAGCTGGACACGCCTCGGCTGTCGCTGGTTCGTTGACTGGCCCCACTGTCTGCGCATGTGGCCCGTGCCCGGTGCTGTCTACTAGAAGCCGTCCACTACGCTACAGGCGGTATGTGCCGCGCGCAGTGGGGCATGGCGCCATCTTGGCTGCAAAGTCGACCAGACACACGCATGGACCAATTGACATGCATCAACATTGAATTGATACTCACCAGACTGGATTTGATGTCATTTTCATCGTCAGTCAATTCGGTGTGACACTCAGCATTCCCGGTGCACCTTATCTTGCCCGCTCGCCTCGACCTCATTTCTTCACCCTCTCCCCGCATCCACCTCTCGTCCCGTCTTCGCAGCTTCCCCAAAGCAACCAGCATCAACAAACAAGAGCAAAATGTCACAACCATCCCGCTGGCGCCGTCCAGCCCAACACTTCCCCCTATTCCCCCATCTCGCCATCGTCCCTGCGCTCCTCGCCATCGCCACCGCCGTCGCCCTCTTCCTCCACTCCGACGTCAACGCCGCGCTGCTCTGGTCGCAATGCCACTCGCACGCCCTCCTCCCAGCCCTCAGCCGTGTCCCCATCCTCGGCACCCCAGCCTGCTACCTCGTCAGCTTCTTCTACGCAGCGCTCGACTCCTTCCGCAGCAAGGCCGTCATGTCCGTCATCCTATCCTATGTCGGCGCCCTCCTGACCGTCTCGACCGTCGAGTCGGCGAGAAAGGTCAACGAGAAGAACGCCGTCGTCTCCAGGCCGACACTGCCGTGGCTCGTGTTCAACTTGCTTGGCGGCGCGCTGGTCTGGCAGCTCGTGTACGCGCCGGCCTTTATTCTCGGAGCCAAGGCCTGGCCGTTCCCCAGCACAGGCAGGCTCATCACCGACGAGGGCCACGGCGATCCGCCTGTGGCCGGGGACGAGGAGGAGCGTGATCCTCTGCAGCTGGACAAGGGGAGACAGATGAAGCTGGTGGAGACGATTGCTATTCCCATCGCCGTGGCGTTGGGGTACTACGTTCCGTCGACGCTGATGCTGTCCCTGAACAAACCCGCCGCCATTGGGACGTGGTTGTTCTTCCCGGCATATGTTTCTCTCATCAGACAGTTTGTGCGGCATGGCCTCAACAAACTGCGTCGGTTCCAGGACGGGCCCATGATCCACATGGAAGCGAATACCAAGGCCTTCATTGCCGTCTACGCCGTGCCCGTCTTGTGCTCTCTTCTTGCGCACGGCTTCATTATTGGCAACTTGACGAAACCAGACGACCGTCAGGAAGTGACGCGCTCGACGGTCAAGTTTATCGAGATTGACAGCCAGTTCATCGGACTGACAATGCTGTATTGGGTGTTTACCGAAGTGGGCTGGAGAGCGCCTCTTGCGATGGTGGTTGCGTCCCTTGTGCTGGGTCCCGGGGCAGGCACCGTGCTGGGATGGCTGTATCGTGAGAAGCTGATTACTTCCGACCTGATCACGCAGCTGCTTGAGCAGGTCGACGACGAGGAGCGCGGAGATGTGGGCGAGGAGACGCCGCTTATTCAGTAAAGATGCAGCTTAATCCGGGCGTATCTGACACGAGAGATTGCAGGCACGGCGCAGGGTAGCAAGGGATGCGTAGTCGGGGTATTTCCTTTGGCGTGCGTATAGCAGGTTGCATTTTTCCTCGTGTGCTATTTTGAAAACGTTGTTTATACAGAGTCTAGCGTGTCCCTCCTTTCTAGAATATAAAATACATGGTATGAATACAGGTCTCCGCTGCCCAACCTCGACTGGAATCATTCGTTCTTTGGCAGTCGCGCCAATATTCTCTCCCGCACAACTTTTGACGCAACTACCGATCCGTGCTGTAGCGTAATCGCGCCAAGGATGGCTAGGACCGCGCTGTTGACGACTACTTCGACACCTGACGACTCGAGGCTTTTGGGCTACAGCATGTTAGTACTCGTATATCCAGTTCCGCGGTGACCAAGACAAAGGAAGGGAAAAATCATACCAGTCGGGGTTTCCACCGCAAAACGTCCAATATGCCCGCATCCGACGCCAGCGCGAACAGCTTTTCCTTGCTAACCATGTCCTTTGGCTCCTCGACGCTCAAGTTATCCACTGATGCGAGCTGTTCGTGCTCAAAAGGCACCCTGTCGAATTCGTCTGTCTGCCGTGACCCCGGCAACGGGGCCTTGCTGACGATTTCCTTGGTCGCTTCCATGACGAGCGTCAGTCGTCCTAGTCCAGTCAGCACGAGTCACGTCTCCAATTTCTGCCGTCCCTTGGAACTTTGTATTCTGGGGGAAAACGTACCCAGCAGTGCCAGCTTGTCGTTGAACCCTCTCCTCCCCTGGTCAAAGCTCTTGTGCGTGACCGCCAACCACTTCAGCTCCTCGGGCAGCATCTTGCTGCCGCCCGGCCCCAGTAGCCGATTGTACATGTTGTCTAGCTTCGCGGGGTCGTTGTTGACTTTCCAGACCTTGTTTTTGAAGGATTTCGCAAAGTCCAGCTGCATGGGGGCTTTCATACCCGGAGGCGTTTGGCTCCATCGGGGCACCGAGGATTCCTGCGATGAGGCCTTGAAGGGTTCGGACGTTGATTCGGTGGCGTAGGTGCGCAGGGAGGGCGTCAGGGCGCGCAAGGCGCAGCGGGCCCGGGGAAAGTGCGCGCGGCAGGGTTGGAGAGCCATGGCGGTGTGGAATTGGCGGCTTGCGAGTAGTGGTTGAGATGGGTTGCGCGAGCGTCGCGATGGTTGAAAATGGAGGTTTGATGGAAGTTTTGTGGTCACGTGCAGGGTGTAGGGGTCTTGCAGGGGTGGCTTTTTGGCCGCCTGTAGTTTAGCGGTTGCTGTCGTTTGGCAATGGAGTGACGACATTGTGAAAAAATAGTAATGAGGGAGACATAATTGCAGAAAAATGAAAGCTATTTAATTGGTGGTTTGATTTAAAATTATTTTTGCAGGTAAACGCTCATGATAAGTCGACAGAAGAGGGACTATCCCTAACCCTAAGTACCTAGGTACTCAGCCGTCAAGTTGGATATTGCCCCAGGTTCGATGTCGTGGTATTTGTCCTTGGCTGACTTGCATGATTAATCGAATTTGCGACAAAGATAAGATTATAATACTTTTAATTATATAATTTAAAACAAGCATTTCAATTCTATTGAGCTATCACATGATGTCAATTATAGAACTTGCTATGACGATGTTTGCAAGACGCCGGAATCTGCAAGATTTACACAACATGTATGTTGAAAAATAGTAAAAGGGGACATGATTTGCACCAATTCA